CCCAGAACTGGACACAGTACTCCAGATGTGGCCTTACCAGGGCACAGCAGAGAGGGAGGATGACCTCCCTTGACCTGCTGGCCACACTCTTCTTAATGCACATGAGGATACCATTGGCCTTCGTGACCAAGAGTGTACATTGCTGGCTCAGGGCTAACTTCCTGTCCACCAGCACTCCCAGGTCCTTCTCTGCAGAGCTGCTTTCCGGCAGGTCAACCCCCAGCCTGTATTGATACATGGAGTTATTCCTCCACAGCTGCAGGAGCCTACGCTTGTCCTTGTGGAACTTCATTAGGTTCCTGTCTGCCCAGCACTCCAGCCTGTCCAGGTCTTGCTGAATGGCAGCACAGCCTTCTGGTGTATCAGCCACTCCTCCCAGTTTGGTATCATCAGCAAACTTGCTGAGGGTACACTCTGTCCCTTCGTCCAAGTCATTGATGAAGATGTTAAACAGGACTGGACGCAGTACCGACCCCTGCGGAACCTTCTAGCCACAGGCTTCCTGATAGACTCTGTGCTGCCGATCACAGCCTTCTGAGCTCTGCCATTCAGCCAGTTCTCAATCCACCTTGCTGTTAACTCATCCAACCTACACTTCCTAAGCTTACCTGTGAGGATGTTGTGGGACACAGTGTCAAAAGCCTTGCTGAAGTCAAGGTCGACAACATCCACTGCTGTTCCCTCATCCACCCAGCTAGTCACGCCATTGTAGAAGGCTACCAGGTCGGTCAAGCATGATTTCCCCTTGGTGAAACAATGTTGACTTCTCCTGATAACCTTCTTTTCCTCCAGATACTTGGAGATGACATCCAGAATGACCTGTTCCATCACTTTTGATGGGATGGAGGTGAGACTGACTGGCCTGTAGTTTCCTGGGTCCTCCTTCTCGACCTTTTTGAAGACTGGAGTGACATTGGCTTTTCTCCAGTCCTTAGGCACCTCTCTAGTTCTCCAGGATCTTTCAAAGATGGTGGAGAGTGACTCAGCAATAACATCTGCCAGCTCTATCAGCACTCAAGTGCATCCCATCAGGGTCCACGGATTTGTGTCTGTCATGGTTGCCTAGCTGATCTCTAACCTACTCCTCCTCAACCAAGGGAGAGTCATCCTTACTCCACACTATGTCTCTTACCTTCAGCACTGGGGAAACCTGAGGGCCAGCCTTGGCAGTAAAGACTGAAGAAGAGAAGTCATTCAGTATCTCCCTTTCTCTGTATCCTCTGTCACCAGGGCACCCTCCTTATTCAGCATGAGGCCTACATTTTCACTAGTTTTTCTTTTGCTGCTGATGTACTTGTAGAAGCCTTTCTTGTTGTCCTTAATGTCCCTTGCCAGATTTAATTCTAAGTGGGCCTTAGCCTGGCTCATTGCATCCCTGCACACACTGACAACGTTCCCATATACTTTCCAAGTGGCCATTCCCTTTTGCCACATTCTGTAAGCTTCCTTCTTCCACTTGAAGTTTTCCCGAAGCTCATCCATGCAGGTCGCCTGCCTTCTCTGCTTGATTGCACACTCATATGGATGCTCCGCTCTTGAGCTTGAAGGAAGTGTCTCTTGAATATCAGCTAGCCCTCTTGACCCCCCTCTACCTTCCAGAGCCCTAAATCACTCTCACTGTTGCAGCAGTGCATCATAATGCTGAAGCATCCTGTTGTGATGCAGTATCCTCATATTTTGACTCAGTTGATGCCACCCTGCCTGAAATAAATTCATGCGCTTTCAGAATTGAAAGCACTCAGCCATGATAGATGAGTGGGCCTCTCTGGTACCAAAGTATCTTGCTAAGTGTTCCTTTGGATGGAAATGCCCAAAGAATCATAAAGTTAGAGATCATGTGTTTTGGGGTTTTTTGGTTTTGGTTTTTTTTTTTTTTTTTCTTTTGGTTAACTTTATTAGAGGGCAAGTAAGTGTGCAAACAGACAAGAAAAATTATGAAAACATTTTTCAGAATTCTTTATGATTTTGTGGTCATTGCCTCTTATGCATACACACATGCACTTTCCAGTTCAGTGTAGTCATTAGCAAGCAGCTAGTCAGCTCAGTCCTTACTAAGAGCTTCTGCAGCGCAGCAGAATTGTGTAAGGGAGGACTTGTCTATATTAGTAACGTAGGTTTAGACAAATAATCTGCACCACAAAGAAAATCAAATAGTTAAAGCTCTGAAAACGATACGTTACCTACTCTCAACCCTTGTTCTCAAACTTGTTTGACACTTTTTTATTATGATACAAGCTATTGGACCTGCCTTAGCTTCGTTTGTTTTGCTTTTTTTGGGGTTTGATTGTAGTGCCTTTGAAAGCCTTAAAACTCATCCCTAACTGGTCAAGGTCAGGATAGAGGCATAGAAGTAAAAGAGATTTTCCTGGTTAATCAAAAAAAAAAACCAAAAAACCCACAAACAAACAAAAAAAAACCCAACTCAACCCAAAACAAAACAAAACAAACAAAAAAAAACCAACCAGCCAAAAAAACCCAAAAAACCAGACTGTTTCCCACAGGCAAACAGCAGGAGCTGCTCACAGGACCCCGTCTGCAGGCAGGCAGAAGGACCTGCCTACAGGACCCAATATGCAGGCAAGCCGAAGGAGCAGCCCACAAGACCCACCTACAGGATCCATTTGCAGGCAAGAACCTGGCCATTGGGAAGGACCAGAAGCCAGAATAGCAGCCATGGGGCATTCTCCACTTATTAGCTATTAATTATGATTTACGCTCCCTGGCACTCCCACTTAAGAAGTGCCTATTCAAATCAAATAAGCACTTTGCAATCTGCTTTTTTGGCAATGGGGAGAAATTTGGGAAGAAATAATTTCCATCTCTCTGCAGTTATCCCAGTTCCTGGTTTCTTTTCTACAATACTGTTTCCTTTTTACCTTCTGACTCGTGCTAAAAGGAAGTGCTGAAACTGTTTTTCCAGAACAAGATGTTCTCTTCTCCCTTCTCCCTTCTCCTTTCTCACTTCTCCTTTCTCCCTTCACTATGCTGCCAGTCCTATTGCTCTTTCCTGTCACTGACTCTGCCTTGAACTCCTCAAATTTGATGCATAATTCTAGTGAAGTTTAACACCCTTACAGCTTTTTCTATAAGAACCACTTCTGTGGAGTCCAGCAAGTTTAGAAACAACATGTTTGGTACACTGCTGATGACTTAACATTTCTGCATATAATCTATATTATAAAACACAGCTTCTTCACTCAGATAACATTCAGTGGTGAGGAGAGATGATTTGCTCGCAAGGAGACCTTTGCATAGATTTCTGTGGTTTGGATGCTGTAGCCAGTTATATTTAGTCACGTCCAGCCACCATGTCAGTGGGAGTGTTCCTACCTGACGTGTTTTAAATATAAGAGAATATTTTAGATTGAATTTTTGCGTTGTTCCAACTTTAGTCTAATGGTCTGGTGTAAGTTAGGTTGAGTCTCCTCTCCACTGATGAAAGGTTGCCTGCAAGACTGTTAGAGAAGTGCCTTTGTGAAGCTTCCCTTTAGCTACATTTACATTAAGGATACCTTATTCATAATTCATTAAGATTAGTAATTGATTGTGATGTGTTATCACAAATGTTTAATAAACTGCTGAACTCTGGCTCAATAGATTAGGCACTACCCCCAGCCATAGCTTGGACTATTGTATTCAGAATGACCTGCATATTTCAGGACAAACAAATATTTTTTTGTGAGTACTACAGTTTTCTTTTACTCATTTACTTAATCTGCATATGATTGTTTAAAATATTTTCAAATTTTTTCCATGGTTTGGGTTTCTGAGCTTTGTATAGCTTAAAGCTTAAACAAAACAAATTGATGAACTAAACATGATTTTGATCACCTCAGAAGTCCATTTCTGACAAATAAGGTGTCATCCAAACAATCTGCCTAACTCTATTTCTAATTATTCCCAATGAATACTTCTTAAATATCTGTATTCATAAAATATTACACCCCTATGCATTTTTGTAAAAGTACTGCTAATATAAAGAGATCACATCTAGTAAAGGCCTCTTCACTGTTTTTTAATGAAGTCTTATGTGTCCTGCACTGCTAAGCCCAGGTGACTAGCGGTAGGCTAAAAGAGTCAGTTTCTTCTTCTGGACTGCACTTGGGCAGAGTGGATGAGGTGCAGGGCCACAGTGATTTTTGTGCCATTTTATATCTTACTTGCACAGAATAATGTGATTACACAGACTACAGCCACAGTGAAGTAAGTCTCCACATGGGTGCATCTGCATGCGAGTATGTATTTGTTTTATATGCCTCTTAAAGAATCTGATGGTTAACTGAACATTTGGATATACCATAAAGATGTAATATTTATTCACTGTAAACTACTTGTTACACACACCTGCTTTTAACTTTATAACGAATATGCTAGGCACATATTTCTTTAACACCTAAATGCTGGGAACAGATTTTCTTTATAGAAGCTACTCACAAAAACCTACATGAATACTGCTCTCATCACCACTCCCTCAGCACCGTGGAATATACCACAGTTTGTGTGTGGAGCTGCCAGTTCTTAGTCCTGAATATTAAACATAGGGGAGTAGAAGGGCATGAAAATCTAAAGGCCAGGGACACTTTGTATTTGCGCAATGTCCTGACCAGGGCATGAATTAGTTGCTGATTTTTCAGTCAGTCAGAAAGTCCAGCAGTGTACCCCACTCCCAAAGTAATGCTAATTCTGGAAACCATAACTAGGAACATTCTTATCCCTTGTTCATTGTTTGTGTATGAGTTCCCCAGTAAATGGTTTTATTTCAGAATACAGAATAACTCATCTAAGTCCTTTAGAAGATTTTTCAGTTGTTTTTTGTTCATTTTATCCTAATTTTCCATATCAGTTTGAACTTCCATGGGTATCACAAAGAGTCTGAGTTAGAACTTTCTTCAGCTGCAAAGCTAGTTTCTGTTGGTCTCTGAGCTCACATCATCTAAGCTGTAGTACCTATGCTTAGCCTTTTCTCCATGGCAAGAACTAACCAAATATTGTTGGTCACTAAAAATAGAGTTCTTGGGATAAAGAAAGGTTGAAGACTAGTGTCCTTGTGCCCCTGACCCATTCACCCGCCCTGCTTGAGGATGGCGCTCACAGCATCTCGCATGCCAGCAACAAGGCACCCCTTCAGCTCATCTGGAAAACAGCAGTGGGAGATACTACCAGTTGCCATGAGGCAGAAGTGCTGGCTCTCTTGATAAAGAGGGATTGCCCTCCATTTCTCTGGTGGATTTTCTATGTCCTTCACTTGTTCAGCAGCCAGGATGACCGAACTCCTTGTACTTTAGCCCTTGTTCTCTGTATTCACCTTAAAGAACAACTGAAGACATGCAAAATCCAATTTTATACACCTGAAACTCAAAGGCATTAAATCTTCTTTCCTGCCAGTATTTCAAGGCAGAGAATGGTAACCCTAGAATAAATACCATGGAAGAGGTATTCCCGTACCTCATAGGGTGCAATGGGGTGTGTAGAGAGAGGTATAGTATACCCACCCAGCTATCTACTGTTTCCACAGCAGTTCTCTGTGAGTACAGGTTAAGTCTATATGTAGCATGTAGATTTCACTAAAGATAAAATTTGAAGAGCCTATGATCATTCTAGCAGGACTGAAATTCCTGTTATTTAAATATAAAACAGATAAATATATTATAGATCATAAACATATATTAATGTAAAAATGCAAATCCCAAAACTGTTCTAGTTCCCTATCAGTGAACAGTTGAATGGTCCTCAATTGCATAAAACAAAATCGGGGAGGAGCGGGGGGGAAACAACACAGAATCCTGATTAGGGAAATCTCAATGTAAAAACTATGTGCACGTCAATCCCCTCAGGCTAAAATTATGCAGTTCTGCTGTACTTTACAATGTAGTTGATCTGCTGTCCGGTTTCCCTTACTCATGGCAAATCATGGACAAAATTGTGTATTAGAGAAAGAGATGCCACCCACACAGAGCAGTGTCGAGTTATTCTCACACTATTGCTTTCCCTTGCAAGTGAAAACACATTTGTTCACATTGGCATTGCAGCTGTTCTGTTAATAGCTGACTGTTAATACAGTCAGGTTATTTCTGTACGTTTCTCATGTGGAATCTTATCAATTTGTTAATACTGTGATATAATTAACAGTGGGACACAACAGGTCAAATCTAATCCCCAGCCATCTCAGAGCAATTACCCACCTGTAGCATGGGGGAGGTTAGTATTACATGATACAATTAATTCAAAAATAATTATGACAAGATCAAATTACAACATCATTATCAACAGGAAAGCAATAGCAAACAGGAAATCAGCATCCATAACTAAAACATAAATCCAGGTACTGAAAGAGCATTATCCTAAAAATATCCACAACTCACTGACTCTAGTGAGAGCTAAGGGTTTCTCAGAATTAGTAAATTCATAACATTGTGAAGGATTTAAACTCTAAAATAATCCCTTTCACTAAAGCACAGCATTGCTCAATTGTTAAAGCTGCTGTAAAATTCTTGAGCACCAGAGGACAGCAGCCTTGGGAAAAGCTAAGGAAAACCAACACCAGATGCCAGCTTTCCCTAAAACAGCATCAGGAGGCAGAGAGAAGCAAAGAAATGAGTACCTTTTTGGGCTATTATTTTCCCAAAGCATTGAGATCATATTTTTTCCCAAATAAACAACTCCTGATAGAGCTCAAGGAATCACTTTGGTTTGTAGCCTTCAGGTAAGGATACCTGGGGTTTTGGTATGTGTTTGGTATGTATAAAGGTTGTGTAATCTCTGCTACTATAGTTATATTCAGTAAGTCTATTGTTCTTGCAGACTAACTGCTTATGTAGTAAGAATCCTTCTCCTCTGCTTAACAGCCAGCTCATCTATTTAATTTTTTATGAAAATCTTGATAGACTTTTATGGGGTTTCATATGTGCTCTGTGAGAATCACCAGGAGGTGTATTTGATTTTTTTTATATGTATTGTTCTAGCTGCATTTATGGCAATGAACTTAAAAATCTGCAGGCACAGCAAGGTAAAGGAAGTAGGTAACTTCATCAAAGCAGGCTCCAGGTTTAAGAGGATCTCAGCAGGTTAGTTTCAGTGCAGTATACTTGTGTCCTAAATCTTTGTTGTATTTTATTTTAAATGTTCAGGGCAACATCTCTGCATAGCAAATTCAAGAATATAAGGAACCACATGGAAAGTAGTCATATGAGAGAAAAAACTAAATGCATAAATGAAATGAAAGAGAAGTATTGGGCAGGACCAGCTTGGACCATACACGGTCCTAATGTTACAAATATTTACACTAACTAAAAGAAAAAAAAATGTGGCCATCAGTTTATCATTACAAATTACAATTTTGAAGGTCAAAAGACCTATATAGCTCCACATGAGGCCTAGAAAAAGGAAGAAAAGAAAAGATTATGATTTTTATTTTAAGTATGTGATAAATGCACCTCCTTTTCCTTCAAGGTACTAGAACCATATCAAAAAGCTTATCTGAAGCTGTTAAGTATGTGCTGAACATCCTGTTGAATCACAGAGCATAAAAGTATGAAAGTGCAATGCTTTGATCTACTTGTAGAAAAACATTATAGAAACATTTAAATAAAAGCAAGATTGTGCAATCCCTGCATACTTAAATAGGATAGTTGTATCTCAGTTCTTGCAATTGCTTTAACATGCAGGAGTGCCACACTCTAAAATTACTGCCAGAAACTAAATAGTAAGAACTTGCTGAGGGAACAGTGACCTAAAATCCACTCAGCCTACTATTCACAAAAGACTTATTTCAGGAAGAATGTTTAATAGATCACACTGTACTCTAAATACAAAGAAACACTTTCTTTTAAGTATTAATTTCAGTGAGTATATAGTTTAATCACCCCATCCACCTCTCTGCAGTTGACCAAGAAGTTAAGAGTAAACAAAATGTTACAAGGGGTAATGGGTACAAATTGAAATCAGGGAGGTTTAGATTAGATATCAGGAAGAAATTCTTCACAGAGAGGGTGGTGAGGCACTGGAACAGGTTGCCCAGAGAAGCTGTGGATGCCCCATCCCTGGATGTCTTCAAGGCCAGGCTGGATGTGGCTTTGAGCAACCTGGTCTAGTGGAAGGTGTCCCTGCCCATGGCAGGGGGGTTGGAACTAGATGATCTTTAAAGCCCCTTCCAACCCAAACCATTCTATGATTCTATGATTCTATTGTCTTTTTCCTACTAGGCAAAAGTCCTCACTTACAACTGAGAACTTCTTAAGCATGTGCTGGAGCTCTGTAACTCTTCCGGAGCTCTTCTGTGGGTCTGAATTGCAATGGTGACAGCAAGATCAGTCATAACAGAGGCAGTGCATGAGCAATCTGGAACTTCATTATAAAAGTTACAATCATGAAGTGGTTTCAGTCAGAATGATCTTTCAATCTAAAGCCTTAATGCTGCAGTGAACTCTACTGGTCAGTTCTCTACATCCGTGTGAAGTTCATTGTGGGATCATAACCTGTGACTGGCTTCATTGCTTCCAACCCAGCAACTGCCAACTCATCTTTCCCCCTGTTGTTCTTTCTCAGTTTCAGTCTTATGAACTTCTCCTTGTTTAAAATTAAAACTTACTTGTTTTCTGTGTGCTTCTGCTTATTGTATAGAAATATGCCACAAAAACCTGTTGTTAGGTAATGATTTTGCTGCCCATACAGAAAAAAGGAGAAATTTCAATCTACATCTCAATTTTGTTCACCAAAGCTTTTACACTGGTGCTGACAGTTTCTGCCAAAGCTTTGTTTTCTCATTTTAGAAGTATTAAACAACACCTTCTCGGAAAAAAAAAGATAATCTGAGAACTAAGCATTTTACACCTAGCTATGGTCACCTGGTTTTGTCTAAGGAACAAGAACTCAGAGAATTTTGAATAGTTTCCTTTTGAAATTTAAAAAAAAAGTCTTAATTTGTCTTTCACAAAGAAAGAAACACAAAAATGTCCTTTCTTGTAGGCGATGCTGGGACGAGGGAATGGAGGGTCCTCAAGAAAGAAAGAGGAAGAAGAAGTTCAGAGTAGGCACAGACTGATCCCTGTTGGAAGAAAGATTTATGAGTTCTACAATGCTCCCATCGTTAAGTTTTGGTTTTACACAGTAAGAAATCTTTCCTGTTTTATTACTACTCTTTGGACAAGTACTGAAGTTGGATTAAGGTCGTATGTGCATTCCATTGAAAGTCTGCATCTGCATGCATAGGAGGGCTTACCCATAAGTAGTTTAATAAAAATCCTTTTTGGAAGTCAGCTAACACTTGCAAACCTAAGACTTTAAAAGACTGCGGTTTTATTCAGAAAGTTAATGGTAAAAATTTGAATGACTGCATGTGTTTTTCTTCAAATACAGTAATAAGCAGCAGTTTGCTCAGTCAGTACTCCAAGGAATTCCCTATAAGAGAAATCCCAATAGGAGAGCTTCCAAAAGTAAGCCCAGTGGGAGGCTAGGCTGAATCAGGATATTGAATTGTATAATCAGGATATTGAATTGTATAATAATTTATGAGAAAAAGAAGCAGGTAGAGCACAGCTTTTCTTGGAACATTTTTTATTTGTTCTGTTTTGACTAGGCTGCAGAGTGTCTCTGTTTGTGTAAATACCCACAAGATAACAAAGACATGAGTAGTAGCTAACATACTTTTTCAGTGACAAATCATGTCAAATCAGTACAATCTCCCTGTATTATAAACAGAAATTATAGATGGAGCAGAAAAAAATTTATGTCATATATTTTGACTAAAGTAAAATTATTGACTAAAGATAAATTAATAACTGCTGTATTAAAGTTACTATGTGGATACAAAGTGCTTTGACAAATAGTCCTCAAGAGTAGATATTAATTGTTCACTATCAAGCTGGAAGAAGGGATTGGAAAAGATTGCATTAGGGTCTCTCCTACATCAGGTGCTACCTGATATTTTCATTCAAAACTTGGATGATGGAGTTGACATTAGTTATCAAATGTCCAAATTTCACTAGAATGTAGAAAAATTAGTTCAAAAGGTAAAACAAACACAGAAAGCAATCCTTTAGGTCTCCTTGGCTGAAATATTCCACCCCAATTCAGTTTCTGAATCATGTGACAAGTATGGGCTAATTTGAAAGACACAAAAAAGAGCAAGAAAAATGTTTCAAGAGGTCTGTAAAACATGATTCAAAGGGCAAGATTTAAGGAAGAGAGGCTGTATTCTCTGGAAAAAAGAAGTCTGAAAAAGGAACGTCTTCAAATATATATATATGTAAGTAGCTGCAGAGAGGGACAAAGTGGAATAATCTCCAAATCCTTGCTGAATAAGAGAAGAAGTAATGGTTGAAATTGTGGGAATGCAATTTCTAAGTAAGATATTAGGAAACAGTTTCTAACTGCTCTGAGAATTACTGTCATAAACTGTTTAAGGAGGTGGTAGATTTTCTATTAATAGAGTTTTCTAAGTCTGTTTTACCAGAACAAATGTATATATGGTACACTGTAATTAATCCTGCCTCAGCAGCATGGAATTAGCCAGATGATTTCAGGTGGTCCTTCACAGTTATGTTTTCCACCATTCTGCTGGATGCACAGCAAATCACAAAGAATACATACTTCTGTAGATGACTTCTTACAAGAAAAATGGCCTTGCTGTGATCCAGGCAATACGTCTACAGACAGCAGGAACAACTCACACAACAGAGAAGATGTCTCTGTTGTGGACTCTTATGCTATGAAATAGCTCCAGTTCGGCAACTTGGCGTAACTACTTGCTGAACTGTGTGGGCATTCAACATTAATCAAGCCAGTGAATCTAGAAACTGCTCATCAGCAGCCTAATCTCATTATCAATTGCAATATATATTATGCGTAACAAGGAAAGTCTTTACACTGTGAACAGAAAGAAACATCCTGGCTCTCCCTGTTAGTTCAATTCTGAAATGTGACAAAAAGATCAATATTGCATTTCCATTTAGACCTGTTTCTTCAGTTTTATGTTCTGAGGCAGGTCTCAATCAAGGTCACTTAAAGCTGAGTCTTGGCTATACTGAACTTGAAAAGCAAATTAAGGTGGATTCTGGCTGCAATGCTTGATTAGTTAGGTATATGGAGAAACTTCTGGAGACTAAAAGCAAAATAGTTTTCAAATGAGGGTTAAAATTTCACAGTCTATCACACTTTATACCAGCACACAGGCAAAAATACTAATCACAGATTCCAAAAGAAATTCTCCAAATTTTACATTCCATGGTCTAAAATGCAAGAAAAGTGAGTATACTTAAGGAAATTGTATGCCATTAAAAATAATTTTATTGTTCTACATCTAGCTATCTGCTATTACTCTATAGCTATATCCACTTTCATTTTTAAAATACACAGGAGTGGGTTAAATGTGGGATGTTTGAGTAAGTAACATTTTGGCTCATCAGATGAGCCCAAATTATTATCTTTTTCTCAATCTAAAATACTTCAGCCTTTCTCTCTGGTCATGCAGTAGTTTCAAAAGTCAAGTATTCTGTTCTTGTTTTGTGGCTGTTGCATTGAAAACCATGACTCAAAGGTTTCATTTCACAGATAGTTTGAGGAGAAGAGGATGGCCTTCCCCTTTTAGCTACTAGCTTTAGGCTGAGGTGTTAGCAGAATGTAAGAGATCACATTTCTTCCTCTTCTGAGAATGAATAGCTGCAGAGGGAATTGAATCACAAGTAAGAGTCATCTTCTAAACATCAAAGCAGCTTTGCCCTGTTTTGCATTCTGGGACCATCTCCGTTACGATCATTTAATTATTTCAATCAGTGAGAAAAGGATGATAGTCACCCTTTTGAATCACTCTTCTTCTGATACAATTTCCAGGTCCAGATACGATTTTCTGTCCCTTACCATAATGAGTATTTAAGTATTTTCTATAGCATGGGACAACATCCATAGGAGGGCAGGGAGAAACCCACCCTAGAAACTTCTTAGCAGGCATTCCTTTCCCTCGTTTCTTCAGGTACTGCCTTCAAGGGCAAAATGGCAGCTCCTGGTTCTTTGTCAAACTATGAAAAAAAAAACCAGGAAAAAAAGAGTTCTGCTATTTGTGTAATAGCATTTTCAAAGAACCTTGAGTACCAGCATGGGCAGCTGTACTGAGGTTTGACCATAGTGTGGGATCAGGACATCCCCCTGGAAGTCAGCAGCAAGTTACAGGCCTGGGAAGAGAGAAGGAGGGTGCCACTCACTATCTGAAGGGTATGCTTCTTGGGCTAAAGTGGTTCAGTTTCAATATAATTTTATTCTTAAATCAAGATGCTTTCTTCCCCTTCCCTTCCCTTCCCTTCCCTTCCCTTCCCTTCCCTTCCTTTCTTCTCTGTGCTCTTCTCTATTCTTTCTTTTCTTCCAAGCAAAAATTCTCAGAAATTTTCGGTAAAAAAGTGGTGCAGTTTCAATATAAGTTTATTCTTAAATCAAGATGCTTTCTTCCCCTTCCCTTCCCTTCCCTTCCCTTCCCTTCCTTTCTTCTCTGTGCTCTTCTCTATTCTTTCTTTTCTTCCAAGCAAAAATTCTCAGAAATTTTCGGTAAATTTGAACTGACTAAAAAAAAAGAAAGAAAAAAGCCAAAAAAACCAAACACTACAAATGAAAACAAAGAAGAAGCAAAAACCCTTAGTTACACAGAGTGTCATGTGGTTTCTATCACCTTTGTAACCTTATGTCCCTATTATTTTCCCATACAACTTTCAAATGTTCGTGAAAGGCTGATGAGTCAGAAAAAGTTAGTAAGATTTGCTGATATTTAATAATCAATATGATCTAAGAGGAGGGGTGTTAGCCAGTATCAACTGGCTTTTTGCACTATAGTAGAAGGTGTTATTTCAGCTAGGGAGGTGTGCATTCAGTTCTGCCTGCCCAGACATAGTTTCTGCTGACTCAGCTGACACCCTGCATGCTGACCTAAGTCAATATTGCTCTCCATTTGCTTTAGGAGTGCGAAGGGAAGAACAGTCTCTAGACCTGAGAACTGCAATCCATTTTCATGCATAAACTGAACGACAAATGGGAGAATTCCCTCCTCTTTTTTAAGTAGACAAGAAGCAGTGATTCACCTGGCTGCCTCCTCTGTACTGATAATTATGGCCACTGTAAAGAATTCTCTCTAGTGTTGTTCAAAGCAGCAAGTGGAAGAAAAACCAGAACCCTGTGACTTTTACACATATCAGAAGTAATGTTCTCTAACAAATACAACAGGACTATAAATCCTGTTCTGTGAGGTGCTGAACACTCAAATAATCCCACCCAAAAGTCTCAAGCCCCTCTGTGGTTGTTTCATCCTAAGCCTGACACTAGGTACACATCAGTTGAGAGAGAAAAACTGTGTTGAAATACAGATGTATGGAATAAATTTTCTACCACAATGACTAAAATGTTTGTGCACAGAACTGAATCATCTTTTCTCTAATTTAAATGTGGCTTAAGATGCATTTTCTGGTAGGGCTGTTATTTGAAATGCAAGTCAACAGGCAGTTGGATTCTGTCCATCAGACACCAGCCACAGCCACTCACTCTTGCTACAGCCCATGCTCCAGTGTGACACTTGGGTTTCTCTGCGTTTCATTAACTCGATGATGACATTTGCCCATGTTGTCTTTATTTGCTTGACCATTTAGTTAGATTCAGCGTGTAGAAAGAAACTAAAGAAAAAAACCCCTAAAAACTAGAAAGAAACTAAAAACATAATCTACACTTTCCACTGTAGGGCAGAAGGTAGATATATTGGAGAAGTAAAACAGCTATATGGAAAAAATTGCAAAAAATAAAAGGCAAATGAATGAATGACTATGCCTGACAACTTGCTGCAGCAATGGGAGTAGGAGAAGCAATGTTTTGGGGAGGAATCATGGTATAGGTTAGGTCAGTACTACACTGCATAGGAAGACCTGTAGCATCACCTTCTTGGGTCCAGGCAAGGACTGTGCTAAAAGGATTTGGGATGCCAGAGTCTTCCTAGGCTAGGGGAACAGGAAGAAAAAACACAGATGATGGGTGTTAGAGGAGTAAAGGGTGATAGAAGCAGATGAGAGAGAAATCTTCACATAGGTAACCTAGTTGGGCAGTTGGCTTAGTGGTATCAGAGTTCCCATCACTGTGGAATGATCAAGAGGACTGCATTAATACAATTTTGTCAGAGGCAGATGTAGCTGGCAGAGGTGGTGTTTGTGCATGTATTTTGCAGATACTACACAGTATGTGATTTAATGTGAGCTTTTTCAGACAACCCAGAACACTATCTGATTGTTCTTTTGTCTGTTTAACTCTGGTTACAGTGGAATTAGGAATGTCAAATCATGTAAATATAGTGACTATTGATACTCATTTTGTTTCTTTACAGCTGGCATATATAGGCTACTTGATGCTGTTCAATTATATAGTGTTAGTGAAGATGGATCGCTGGCCATCTACACAGGAATGGATTGTCATCTCATACATTTTCACTCTGGGAATAGAGAAGATGAGAGAGGTAAAACCACTCCAACCAAGAAAGACAGAATAAAAAATAAGATTTTTTTTTCATTTAATATCTTCTTTTACTATTTTTCTCAGCATGGATTGTTAAAAATCCAGCATTAAAAAGCCTACTTTCTTCCATTTTAAAGTCAATAATCTTGCTTTTTCTTTCTCCCATGGAATTCCTCTGTTCAGATTTCTGTGATGCACATTTAATAGCATTTGCAAGTATGAAGCAGTCTTCTGACATATTTTAAAACTTGGATATATTCGTTGAAATGTGGCTTAGAAACTGGAGTATGTTTTGGGGAGAGGAAAAGGTGATATGTTATAAGAGAATGCACTCAGAAACATGATGATAGCATGAAAACTGAAAAGGCAATGTTTGAATCCCCACCCCAAATAGAGTTCATTCAAAATTTACAGCTGTTCTGTCTATCCAAGTATCTCATGCAAAGGCTTTAAATAAATGCAGCCATAACCAGGGGAAAATTCAGATCCTATTGAATATTGCAGCATATTTCCAGTAGGAGCTCCCCATTTTAATCTTGAAAATTTTGGCTAATTATGTCCAGCAATAACATGCATCTGCTTAAAGATGCTAAAGCAGACACGTAGAGCAGAGGCAGAGCATTTAAGGTAGTAGTCTATAGGCAAAGTGAAGTTGTTCTGCCATCCCTGCCCCTCATGGTCTGTCCCACTTGCAGCTACCACTGTGCTCTTGTCAGTTGGCCAAATGTGCACTTATTCCACAATGACACCAGAGGCCAAATCCAACCTTGATATGAGTGGGTGCAAGTCCTATTTACCTCAGCTGAAGCAGCATATTTGTACCCCTGGTCTGAATTACCATCTATATTTTTATTTTCTGCAGCAAATGCTTTTGAGGACTAGACTAAAAAATGTTCTTGCAACAGCCACTTGGGCTTCAAAGACAGATTTCAAACACTGTATGGTAAACTCTACATTATAAAAAAAAAGAACAGAGGAAAAGACACTACTTGTGTAGCCTATAATGTGTGTACTTCACTATCCAAAAGCAAAACAATGGCAGTAGCCACACGAGGACTCTGCAACAGTGATGGAGACAAAGCACCACTGGTTCAGTAGGTGGGAGGCTGCTGGCAGGAATCGTGTGTGTCTTTTTTGTCTAATAATCACCCCAAATTGTCCTTTCCACAGGGGTTTATCAAGAACATTTATTGGAATGGGTTTGTAAGCACATGTTGGAGATTGTTCACACAAGATGAGCCTAAAGTCAGTCTGAAAATTAATTATAAGAAAATGATAAGAATGGAAATTGTCTTTTTAATGAACTGTATGAGTCTGTTCAAATGTTCTCAGGCTAGATATAGGATGTTCAAATGTTCTCAGGGTAGATATAGAAAATTAAAACAAACAGCTTGTTAACCCACTAAAAGCTAGGAATTATTCATAGAAATCACTTGAGGAATAGTTTCAACAGTAATTTGGAAAATAATCAAGTCTCCCAAATGATCTTGCAACTAGAATGATGATAAATTCATAAGGTAAGTAATTATTTTTGTGAATTAATTCTCATCTGTGGAAATTAATGTCTAAAAACAGGTCCAACTGGTAGCTAGTATCTCTCTCTGGATTAAATGCTAAATCCAGATCTTTGTGGTTATTATTTCTTGACAGTTCGATACACATTTTAGATTAATTTTCTTGAAATCTACAGCTTCTTTAAATGTGATGATGAAATATCTTTCTATATTTCTCCCTCTGTAAGTAGAGTCAATAAATTTGAAGGCTAGAAATATATATATATGTCTCCTGATTTCCTGGGGACTTTAGAGTGAGTGAGGTTTCTGTTCTTTCTGTTTTAAGTATCTCACACATAGGTACAGACAAGAGTGATTAAAATGGAAGATTTGTCAGAAATATCAGGATGTATATGATAGGAGTCTATCAGCTTGGCTTTTGGCCTGTGTTGCATTTTATGTCTTTTTACTATAGATTACTTGAGGCTTAAATTAAGACAGCTCAGCTCCTTTCCTCTCCATGTGCTCTGTCCTTCAGATATTGATGTCAGAGCCTGGAAAACTGTTACAGAAAGTAAAAGTTTGGCTCCAGGAGTACTGGAATGTTACTGATCTCATAGCTATCCTCCTGTTTTCTGTTGGGATGGTGCTTCGCCTGCAAGATCTGCCACTCCGGAGCGATGGCCGAGTGATATACTGTGTTAACATCATTTACTGGTATATACGGTTATTAGACATCTTTGGAGTAAACAAGTATTTGGGACCATATGTTATGATGATTGGGAAAATGGTAAGAGAAGTTGGTTTTCTTCTGTGTTTTATGAGCATGTTCTTGACTCAGTGTCTTTGGCCAATGACATCACTGCAGATCTATCTGGGGGTTTTTTATGTATTAGCATTTACATGTAGACTAGAAATCAGTGCCTTATTGAATCAAAACCTCAGCACAGACCTCGAGAATTGAGGATTATACTCTCCCTGTTCTGTTAGTTGATGTATTGCTTGTCTTTCTCTGAGATTTCTGCAATGGCAAAGCCATCCATCCTACACCTCTATGCCTCATTTGCAGAAAATAAAAACGATAATTCTCAACTACTTGTAAGGGAGGATGGTTTGTTAAAGTGTAAAAAAAAAAAAAAAAGAAAAAAAAAGGAAAAGTGTTTGGTACATTGAGAGTCTCCGAGAAAGTGTAATAGGTGTGGCATCTTCAACACTTCAACACTGTAGTGGTTATAGAATCATAGAATCATAGAATGGTTAGGGTTGGAAGGGACCTTAAAGATCATCTAGTTCCAACCCCCCTGCCACGGGCAGGGACCCCTTCCACTAGACCAGGTTGCTCAAAGCCACATCCAGCCTGGCCTTGAAGACATCCAGGGATGGGGCATCCACAGCTTCTCTGAGCAACCTGTTCCAGTGCCTCACCACCCTCTCTGTGAAGAATTTCTTCCTGATATCTAATCTAAACCTCCCTGATATCAATTTATACCCATTACCCCTTGTCCTATCACTACAGGCTGTTGTAAAAAGTCCTCTCCCAGTACCAGTTATGATTAAGACTGTGACCTTGCTACACTTTGCTCCATATGCATGTGTTCCTCCACCTCTCCTGTTTATGTGTGTCCTTATAAGATGAAATATAAATTTGCAAAACTGCAATCTCTGTCTCCTGGCCACATTACATGTACACAGCATGGCAGAAGTATGCATAGTTTATGTGATAGTAAATGCATACAGGAGGAACCAAGAGATATTTGCTGCCAGATACATCACTTCACTTTTTGGCTTTTTCTTTTTACTCTTCCGTAGAAATGTTGCATTAATGCAGCATTTTGCTTGTATGAGTTAAATAAAATGGCTGAGTTTACTGATGCATGTGCACATGTCCCTGATATTTGAGTACCTGCACACATAGCTAATATACATGCTTATGTTTTATAGTTATCCAGCCTTGTTGTGTACATCATGACTGTTTCATGCATTCTGGGGTTTAAGATTTATTTTTTAAAAGAGAGAATAAAAATGCCCTTGAAGTTGGCATTCAATAAAAGAACTAAACTGAATATTAACTTTTCTAAATACAAATATTACCACAGTCTGATTGTTATGTGGACAATAATCAGTAAATCCAAACAGGCTGACCATTGTCTTTGTCTTACCATGGTCCTCAAAGAAAAGACCCAGCTACCCCACTTCCTCACCGTCACAGGAAAAGGGGACGTATATGAATGTATGGACTACAATCCAATCTTTGTCAAAATCCAACCTTTGTCAAAAATCTTGACAAAGAAAGAACAGCTTAGTGAAAAAAAAAAAAAAAGAGAGAGATAGAGGGAAAACACAAAAGAAAGTGGTTGTTGAGTATGTCTTGCAAACAGGATTTTGGAGTGTACTACCTTCCTTCAAGGAGGACAATAAGATGTTGATGAGAGGTATTTTGCAGAGCTCCAGAGTACAGGGGTGAAAACACTCAACAGTTTTTGCTGGAGTTTACTAGAAAAGGACAGCAGGACAAGAAAAAGGACAAAAGACCAAAGGGAAAGCATTCCATTATCATCTGTTTCTTTTCTGTCCGCCTGGACTATGTCCCTTCATCATAGGATCTGATGGTCACTAGGGTTGACACAATACACAGTATAGAAAAGTTCTAAAAATCCACCACCCTCCTTCTCTGCTGTATTTTTCACAGGTGCCATGCACAAAAGGTTTCAGAGTTGTGGTGTTAGCAAAGGCAGTCTGAACACTAGACAGATTGGCCATGAATAACAAACTTTAGTAGCCAGTGTTATGGATGGCTGATAGGAGCTCATCTTCACCAACAGTATAAACAGTGGTTTATTTTTATCCTAGCGTCAACACAGAAAGGGAGTGGTTGAAATCAACAAAATAATATAATTTCCATTCCTTTGTCATTCTCACATGTGTAGGACAAATCAAGCCTCACTACACCTTCTGTGGAAAACCAACGGAGGAAGGTCTCTGTAGTCTCAGGACCAACTCAGAGGGTGTTCAATTTAGCTACCAGAGTACTCTGAAGGCATAGCCAACTCTTAAAAGTGGGAAGCTCTTTTATTTTATGTCTTTCTGTTATTTGATTTTCATACCTTATCCAACTTTTCATGAATTCAGCAACTCCAACATAGCCACTTTCCCACACATGCAATGGCCAACTGTTTTAAGTTACACAGATTTGCCTCTTGCATCTGTTTTCTGGACAACTTACTCCCTTGTGTAATGGGCAGCCCATTTAAATCATGCACAGACTTGCCTGGGCATTGCACCTGCCCAGGTACTTACAGTGTACTTAGAGAGGCCCATTACAGCTATTGAGTTCCTTAACAGACCATATTTAACACCTGAGCTTTTATCCTGAGCTTCTATTACAAGTTTTAGACTCAGGAGGAAAAAGATGACTCTTTCCATCTCTCCAGTGTTAAGGAACTTTCTCTTCACCTGCCTCTACATTGTACCCAACAAAACAACTGTAATAGGGTTTGTCTTTTGGCGCTGTGAACAAATATGTAAGTGAAATGAAGCAAGGGGCAGGAATGAGCTTGAGCAGTTTAAATGGAATGGGTGAAAGCAAAGGTGAAGACAGGAGGAGGAAGCTGAATGGTCAAGTTTATTACTATGTACTCTTTTCATTAACAATATATGCTTATTATAACATGCTTTTCTGATCTCTGCATAGTGATGGGCTTACTTCCGTTTTATTTGCGAATTAAATGAAATCTCTGTGGCATGTCAAGAGAGTCAGAGGTACATCAGTTCCATTACTGTGTGGGAATGCCTACATTTTCTTACCTTCTCTGCAAATGAAAAAGGGGAAATGGATCCAGCTTGTTTATAAAACTGCACCAAGAGTTGCTTGTTTTATCACTTTTTTAAATAGGTGGCTAATGAGTACTTCAGAAGGATTGAAATGGCCACTGCCTTGTTAAAATAGCAGTTGATTCTGCAGGCCAAAGGGCGTGATAAAATGCCCATTAGAGTTAGTGTAAACTCACCCATTTATTTCACTGAATTTCAGACAAGCTCCTGAGGTTTTAGAAATATACCCAGTTGAAGGAGGGAAAAGTTAACGTGCAGCTTGAATAGAAATTAGCACTAAAAACTTAATTTCTTGCAATATGAGATCAAACCTGTGTGTTTCCTGATCAAAAGCACAGCAAGCATTTAAGAAATTGTCTTAAATTGGCACTAAATACTCATTATGTTTATTTGCTTGCATGACATTAGAAACAGGTATTATATTACATCATATCATGTTATGTATTTCTACCTGAATTAAAGTTTCATCAGAGAAGAAAGGAAGAACCAAGTTTCATCTCTAAATTCCTTCCCTAAAAGAAGTAAGAACTAAATGTAATTATGCAGCTTTCCCATTTCAGAATACTCTCTGAGGTACAGTGATCTGGAATTCCTCTTCAAACAGGTTTTATTGGGAGATAATGCTCTGAAAACTATAGGAATGTTGGTGATTTACTTGTCTGTTTTTTTAATTTGTTAAGGCATTTATTCTCATTTCTTATGTCCCCAGGGTTGGGTTTGGGTTTTTCTTTTTTCCTTTCCTGCATGTTTTATGGACCTCAAGACCTGTTTTCCCCTGCTTTTTTTCATTTGTCCCAGTTCCTTCTTTCTAGCTCGTCAAGTCTTTCCTGCCCATGCCCTCCCCTACAAGTGTGTTTCTCCTACAGCCTCTCACTCAGTAAATATTATATCTTTTTTTTTTTTTCGTTCCTCTGCATCCCTCTCTTTTCTCTCTTAGATACTTTAACAGTGTTATTTTGATCTCAGGTCTCTCTCCTTGAGCTTTAAAACTGAAGAACCCCTTCAGCAGTGCCAGATCCATCTGCTGCAAATGGGTCCCCTCTTCCACCAAGTTTTGCCATGAGCAACCCTGCTCTTCAGCTGCAGTAGGTCCCCCATGGAGTGATAAGGCCATTGGTTGAGGTGCAGGTTGTTTGCACACCTGCCTCGCAGGCAAGGCAGAATGCAGTTGAGAGAGACTGAAGCGATTAAAACATAAAGGTTAGGGAAGTTTTGGGTCAAGTTTTGGCCAGAGACAAAAGTTGCATCCAAAACTGTTGTAACAAGCCTTATAACGTAAGACCTATAGTAGACCTGCAACGGAAGTTTTTAAAGGGATCTTACCAGGGACCTTACAGGACTCCCATTTTTCTCACATTCATTTTAGGCTTTTATAACCCAAATGCTTTATGCATCTCTGCTGTACCTGCTTGATCCCCCTTGCTCTGGTCTCTGGAGGGTCTTTTCTAGCACAGTTCCTTTTCTGATCTTCAGCCCCTATTAAGCACCTGCTAGGATTGCTGTCCCACTTTTTCCAGGAACATTTTGAGTGGGTAAACACTGTTTGCAGGCGCTGATTAAACATGCATATTCTAATGAAGCCTTCAGCAGTGGAGAGGAGCATCGAGTGTTCATGATATCTCCATTTATTTTTTTTGAAATATGGCCTTCGTAAGACTCCCCAGCCAAGCTGATTTTTAGTCCAGCCAGTATCACAGCTTTCTTTTCTCATGGGTTATCAGTTCCTTCTGTTGCAATAACAGGATGTTCTGCCACCCGTTAATCCTTATGTTAGATGCAGCTTCCTTCTTTTGCTCCAAGACAATGACTACCAGTGAATAAAATAATCCATGTCAGCCCTTTCTTTTAGTACAGTTACCACTAGGTGCCTATAACAATATATCATCTTGTGACCCTTGCCCAGATCAGGCTGCTGATTCCAGTCAACCTATATTCTTGTTCAGGCAACCAATGTGACCAGATGGTATCTTGTATTTTCAAGCCTATTCATAACATTAAAATTGTTCTTGAAAGCAACACTGAGTAAAACCAAGGACACAATAATACTGCTTCACTTCTTTGGAAATGAAATTTGTCATGTGTAAAACTGACTTTTTCAGAATTTGTTTTTGAAAATTCTGATTCTAAGATTTACAAACTTTTTTTGCAGCATATTATAATAGGAATATGGACAAAAATGTTCCTCTAATTCTTGTCACTTACCTCTCTCTTTCTTTTCTTCTCATTACATTCAGATGATAGACATGATGTATTTTGTCATCATCATGTTGGTGGTTCTGATGAGTTTTGGTGTCGCAAGACAGGCTATTCTCTTCCCCAATGAGGAGCCTTCATGGAAGCTGGCAAAAAATATTTTTTACATGCCTTATTGGATGATCTACGGAGAAGTGTTTGCAGACCAGATAGACCGTAAGCAAGTTTATGATTCTCATACTCCAAAGTCAGGTATCCAACTTTGATTAGACTATGTCCTATTAGATCACATGTATGTTCTCAATAAATGTCTCAGGATAGAGGAACTCCTTCATCAGAGTGAATGGTCACAAACATATTTTTGCAGCCTATATTGGGGTGTCAGTTTCAGAACATGCTTCTAGCATCACTTTGAAATTATTTAAACAGAAATCTTAAATAAATAAATTATCTTACATATAAAGAATATTTTAAATGGTTTCTTTTTACTAGTTGGGTGACAAGGATAGCCTCTCAGGTATCCACCATGAGTTTGTTGGTACACCTGAAACATAAAAAGTCACTTTTTTTCTCATCCATTGGTTTGATTTTAGACCTAAATACTTTTTACCAAACTTTATACTGAGCATCAAGTCTAAGTATACTGGGTTACACCTTCAGCTCCTACACCTCATGAGGATTGTGATTCATGAGGCAATGTGATTCCTTTTCTCTGTTATCTACTCACTTCCACCACCTTTACACTAAATCATGTGATGCAATTCTTTGGGAACAGTAAATCCATTATTAGAGTTTTGTTTTATTTATTTATTGGAATGCAAGACTCTGCTCACATCAGTGCAAACAGAATGAAAGCCGGTGTTTCATACGTTATATCCTCAAGATTCATTTGGCTGGTGGTCTTCAGCAAACACTGACATACAATTCATGTTCATAACCCCTATTTAAACGTGCATAAGCCTTGGCAGCATTTAGAAGTGAGTATCTTTTCCAGTGGCAGATGGCATCCAGTAAAGCTCTGTTCAGGATATTTCCTAATCCTAAGGTTTATGGTGTTTTCGTAACTTTTCTTCTACGTGTTCAGTATTGACCAAGTTTGAATGGCAAAAGGATGTTGATTTTTCCTGAGCTGGGTAAAGTAATAAATGTATCTGTATCTCCAATAATCCCCCCAGTTTAATGGTGTTTCAGATGGGCAGATGGATACATAACACATTGCAGGTATTTCAGCAGTTCCATGTTAATTTTTACTTCTTGGTTATCATAGAATCATTACTGTGGATACAGGTGGGTTTTTACATTTACTTCCCCACTTTGTTTTCAGAGGCAGCATGGCATGCAAAGAAGAAAACAAATACCTAAAATCACAGAGCTTCTCACTGAGTTTAACATTCTACCTGATTCCCTCATATTTATCCTTCTCCCTTTTCTTTTCTTTTTAAAAATTCATTTCATTCCAAAGGCATAATAGCTGGGGGTATAAAACATCTTGCTTCAAAAATGTAATAGAAGGATAAAGATTTATACCATTAAACTATTACTGTTTTCACAAGCAGAATTCTGTCTTCTTCTAGAAGTAGCCATTTATTGGTGTTGTACTAAGTAACTATCGTAGTGCAACAAACATGGCTATTGGCTGAATGAGGTACATTGAATGGAATAGGAGAGCACATCTAATCAACACGTGGCTCAGAGGCTGGTGTGAACGGTGAAGCTTCAGGTTCCTTGAGCACAAGGAGG